AGGTTGATGGCTAACATAGGTATTTGCCATATACCTAATGGTACTATCCCGGATTCTATGATCTTCCTGACGCTATTCTTTCTATTCATTGACGTCACCATCCGCGCTTTCAACCATGCTTTCGCCGATGATCCCATTCTTAATCGCACTTCATCCCATTCCCCTCTCATCTGAAAAAACGAAACCTCATTCGATCTATCAGACGCACATTTCTGAAATCCCATTTCGAGCAAATAACAGCCTAAAACCTATCTGTACAACACTCAGAACCGAAACATCACCAGAACGGCCGTCACTATTCTGGGTGGGCGTTTCGAACTCTTACGCATGCCGTTTGGGTTGAGCAAACTTGCTCCGCCCTTTCATCGGCTCATTGACCAAGTCTGTAGCGGAATTGACGTCTACTGCTAACTCGACGACATTTTAGTCGCCTCTTTTTCGACGGGAGATCACTAACTCCATCTACACACACTTTTTGAATGTTTATCACAGTACAGGATAGCGATCAGCGCTTTGAAGTGCTCCTTTAGTCAGTCATCTGTCATTTTCCCAAGCCACGTCGTCTCTGCCGCTGGAATACAACTTCTCTCGGACAAAATCTGGCTATCATCGGCTATCCAGAACTTTCGTCGCTCCGACAGCTACGACCTTTAGCTTGATTAGTGAACTTCTATCGTCGTTTTATTCCCGGTTGTGCCACACTGATGTAACCTTTAATCGATCTTCGCCAGGGCAATCGAAAACGTATTGAATTCTCTTCAGCTGTTTTCAATGTGCTAAAAAAGGTCCACCAAAATAGCATCCTGCGCACACCATGACCCGAACGCATCGCTAGCTCTTGTTACCGATGCCTTAGACTTAGTTGTAGGTGTGATGCTCCGGCAATTCGTACCAAATAAGTGGCAACCTATGGCGCTTTTCTTCAGACTCCTGTAACCTGCCGAATCTCGCCAGTGCATTTGACAGGGAACGTTTAGCGGTTTGTCTTAGCATTCGACACTTCCGATACATGCTGGAAGGTAGATCGTTTTACGAACGCGAAGGGCGCGAACCCCGAAATAGAACTATTGCATCAAAACCGGCTCACTTCGCATTGAGCCAGTACTCATCACAGGTCAAAGCAAGTCATGTTCAACAGTCCCCGAAAGCTTTCGACGATTCATTTTCGATTGGGTGCAGGATATCTCACACCCAGGTGCCACCGTCAAATTAGTCCCTTCTCGCTTCGTCTGGTGCTACATCAATCAAGACATGCGTTTATGGACTAGTAATTGTCTTCAATGTCAACGTTCTGAGGTACATAGACGCACGCCCACAAGTAGGTTCGTCTCTGATACCTGACGCACGTCTTTAGTACGCGCACGCAGACATCGTAGTACCTGTTCCTAAGTCAGGTGACACCCAATATTTGCTAACATACGTCGGTCGTTTCGCAAGATGGCACGAAGCCATCCAAATCCACGGTTATTCCCCGGAAATCGTAGTCAGCGCGTTCCCCAGGCAGTAGCAAGTTTCGGTTGTCCTGCAATCGTCACAACCGATAGCGGGGCAAGTTTCGAACGAGCATCCTCCAAGTTACTAGCTACCCCAGGCACACAACAGATAAAATCGACAGCCTACCATCCTGCAGCTAATAAAATGATGGAGCGTTTCCATGGACTCCTCAAGGCTGCTCTGCAGGTGCCAGAAAACCCGCGCTGGTCAGAAGTGCTGTCGTTATCTACGCTAGGGATTCCAGATGTGATCAAAAGCGACTTCAACGCATCACTAACTGAACTAGTCTACGGTCCTTCTTTGCGTTTTCTGGCGAACTAGTATCTCCATTACAGTCGACCGTTTTCGACTATGGTGATTTCGTAGAGCGCGTAAAAAATCACACGCGCCAGCTGAAACCCACCGCCAAATGAGCGAGTAGTGCAGGCTCATCAACCTACAGCGGTACCCACTTGCCCATATGCTCTTCTTCGCACGGATGCTGTACGCACTCAGTTACAATCGCCATACAAAATACATCGTGTCCTGTGCCGTTCAGGCAATGCGAGGCGGTTGGAAGACGTCGAGCCATCAGCATCGTCACTGGTAGCGGAACAGATTCCTCCGGAAACTCCTCCATAAACTGGCACAAGTGGGAGCGCAGTCCGTAAACCACTCCACTTCCCGAAATACGTGTGTACGCTACTAAACTCCGTTGCGTACTACCGAATATAAACAGGTGGTTTGTAAAATGCGTTTCCATTCCTAACGCTTCACCAACGCCAATTGCACGGTTAGGTAGTTTTCGGACTCTATCAGATTCAAAAGTCAACCGGTTGACGGCGTATGGGCTCTGGATGAGAACCACGGGTCGAGGACCCAAAGGAACGTGCAGAGGGAGTTGGCCACTCATGTACTCGCTGTCCGTTTGTGAAAGGTTTTGGCTAGTGTCATGCTTCTCTTCCGATTGGTCTCGGTCAGTTTCTTTTTTTCAAGGCAGGCGACCCACGTCGACGGCTCCGCACACCCTGGAAGAAAACTCAGCTTAACGAGAACGTTTCTCCATTTCGAAAAACGAGGCTCGTGACGGAAATCTAATTGACCTGCAGTTGAGCAGTCCGTGCCCTAAGGACAATAACAATCTTTTCACTCACCGTTACGTTAGGCGGCGGATTTCCACAGTGACGTTCACTGATTGTATGTTCTGACCATTATCCCAATCTTTTCGAGCAACAGTGAATTTTACTCCGCCGTCCCATTTTGGCACACATACTCACTCTTGCCATCACTCTACGAACTCGTTTCGGTGGCTGCTCTTCGGTAACTTTCTAGAGGGGGACTGAAGTAAAGCGGTAATTTCACCTTTTGTCTACCAGTCCTGTTCAACTCAAAGCAGGCTTTTGTCTTATCAGGTGCACTTTACCCGTTCACGCTCAACCACGGAATTGTTACTTGTTCCAACGAGTCATGCGATCTCGTTGCACGTGCAAACATTTGCTGGCAGGTCTCCCTCTAAAAACCGTTGGTCACGCATTGTTTGTCTTCTTACTCGTTCGGAGCAATAGTCTTATTGCTCTTCATCTTATTCGCCAGTATTGAGGCAATCTGCATCCAGTCATCGCAGATAGCGCGACCTATCTAAAGAGGATCGCAAAACTAGGCCCGGCCAGGTCTACTTCATGTTCTTAAGGTTTTAGTTAGTAATTTACTCACAAATCAAGTCATCGAACTACAGTAGAAAACGTCTGGCCACCGACAAACTAGTTACACTAGCGATTGTTAAATAGAATCCGCGTAGGTAGCACAACAATCGGCCTTGCAACTACTAATTGAAAGGTAATTGATCGGACAATGTCCTTGCATGGTTCACACTTCCTCGCTAAATCAAACAAGAAATCAGGATCAATTTTCTTCAAACCCAGAACTGAGTGTCTCGGGTTGTAACTGATCACCCATTCCTTGAACCTCGCCAAGAGGCCCCTTACGATCAAGCGTCTCAAACAGCCTGTTGTGAAAGCCCTACTGACTGTCTTCTCGTAGCTGTGCTGTTTTCTCATCAAAGTGAGAGGACGTAAAGCTAACATTCGTTCAACCACTAGCAGTACACCTAGGGGACTTGGCCAAAAACCCGACCAATAGGCGTACAAACCACACATAAATGACTTCCTGGTAGTGGCATTGGTCACCGGCTCGATTGGGCACCTTCGGCGGTTGAAGGGCGTATGATCCGACGACCTGGACGCCGTCCATCCCACCCCAATAGATTTCGGCTTTCACGACGCCTCGCTGATTTTGGCTAGCCGAGGGTTTCGGTTGTGAAATCCCTAAGCACGTTCGGCTGCCTTAGCCTATGCAACCTGGAAGTATCCCGCCCGCAATCAAATCATGCGACCTTATTCACTTTTTTACTGTTGTACACACACAAGACCTTCGAGGATTACGCTACATAACAGCAACACATCGCAACTGGTCGTGAAGAGATGATGAGACTTGCAGCACGGGTTAGAAAGACAAAACTGGCATACAAAAAAACTTACTCTGAAGACATTTACCATCTCCACCTTCACCAACTTCGCCCTTCCGCAAATTTTCACGATGACCAGGGTCGTCAAGCTTCGTAACGAAACTGTTTGATGTCAGGAAATCTTTTGAAGCTTGTTGGACGGCAGATGGTGCTGTTGGACCACAGTTTCCAGTAGGCACACGCCTACTCATAACTTCAGTAACACACAAAATTCACTGACTACTCGGACGGAGTAGCAGCTCAACGTTGGTCGGTAGAAGAGGAACAGCCCCACAGACAGATAATTCCATTCAAAAACTGTCGGATGAAGTGAACAGCAATGTAATATTCCACGAAAGTAAACAGTCAACCCCTGCAATGAAAACGTATGGGTTGGAATTAATTAAAATTAAGACGGGCAATAAAAAATTGCTAAAATTTGCAAACAACGAGATGCCTAACTCTGCTCCAATGACAACACCTATAAAACTCGATAGACTGTTCCTCACGTACCAGAAAAAGCTGTGAAATCCACAGTTTCACATCGACATCAAAAATTACAGCCCAACCAAGGGAAAAAGTTCTGCCATCATTAATGTCAAATTCCGCGCCTTAAGAAAAACTCCGCGATAGACAGTTCAAACGTGTTACTTTCGAAATCCATGTCAGGTCAGGTCACAGGACTTCATTTCAGTTCACTTCAGTTTCAGGACCTTGACGGCCGTGTGCCATTTCGACTGGCAAAAGACGTTCATAACAGACGACTCCCTCGGTCGCCCTCTTACTGACCTTCTTGACCTTCTTTGGATACGACAGTTTTCAAGCCCGGTATATGCTCGTGGCTTATTCCAAAGATAAGAGAAACTCCCCATGGCCTCGTAGTAGATATGGGCTCCCCTTCTACAGCCCGTAGGCTCATCACATTTGCTCCTTTCCTTAAACGATCCTGCAAGGGTCTTAGTAGGGGTGTCA